CAATCCATTCCGATCAATCCGATCAATCCGACCAATCCATTCCGATCAATCCGACCAATCCATTCCGATCAATCCGACCAATCCATTCCGATCAATCCAATCCGATCAATCCGATCAATCCAATCAATCCAATCTGCATCCGTACATCTGTTAGTTCGTGCATTTCTGCATTCGTGCATATGTGCAGCCACACATTTTGACATTCCTACATTCCTACATTTCTGAATTCGTATTTTTTTGTGATTGTGCATATCTGATTTTCTACGTTTTTGCATTCATACATTTCTGCAATTACACGTTACTTCATTTGTACATTCGTGCATTGCTGCAATCGTTCATACCTGCATTCATGCCTATGTGCATTCGTACTCTTCTTCATTTGTACATTTTTCATTCGTACATTTGGTCATTCCAACATTTCTCCAGTCCTACATTCCTGCATTCGTATTTGTCTCATTGTTTTTTTAATTTAAATATGTTTCGTTTTCTTCCTTACATATCTTTCAAAAAAGATTAGGAATAGTTCATCCAAGAAATTTAATTTCTTTAAGTATTTATTTGTATTTAACGCTTCGTTTGTTAGTTTTATGTATAACATTAGCTATTATAATTTTTTTTTTACATATTGGAAACAGTTCCGCCCAGTATTCTTAACTTTGCAAATCAAATTTCTTTAGTTTCTTTTTTCGTAAATACAATCATGTCTGATTATTTGCCAAATGAAATTGTGGACATGATTAAGATTATTGGAGAAGCTAGGAGTAATTATTCTCTAGCCGAGCGTCTATACGCCCAGAAATTTCCAAATAGGCGACACCCTGATAGGAGGACAATGCAAAGACTTTGCACAAGAGCCGAGCAAGGTATTTTAAAACGAGTGCGTAAAAAAACAGGTCCTGCTGAAAGAAAGTCGGTAACAGTTTTGGCTGCTGCAACTGTAAATCCTCAAATTTCTACGAGACAAATTGAAAAAGACCACGGTATACCGAAGTCAACGGCGAACCGAATTTTCAAATCGAACAAATTTCACCCTTATCATATCCATATGACACAGAAATTGGAAGAGGGTGATTTTCCACGTCGTCTAGGATTCTGCAACTGGATGCAAGGTCAGATAGATGCAAATCCTGCATTTGATGAACAGGTTCTATTCAGCGATGAAGCCACATTTACAAACAGAGGTGACGTTAATAGACATAATTGTCACTATTATTCTGATATCAATCCTCATTGGAAACGACATAGAGAATTTCAACGACAATGGTCTATTAACGTCTGGGCCGGTATTGTAGGTGACTACATTGTAGGGCCATTTTTCTTCGAAGAGCATTTAAATGGAGCTAATTATTTAAATTTCCTACAAAATGAATTGCCACTCCTTTTAAGGTATGTACCGGTCAATACATGTCGAAGAATGTGGTTTCAGCAGGATGAGGCACCCGCTCATCGATCAAGACTAGTTAAAGAGTACTTAAATGAGCAATTTCCGAACAGGTGGATTGGCTTGGGCAGTCATATTCAGATTTGGCCTCCACGATCACCAGACTTGACACCGTTAGACTTTTTTCTTTGGGGTTACCTAAAGGAGAAGGTCTATGCAACAGAACCGACAACGGTAGAGGATATGAAAGTCAGGATACGAAGAGCATGCCAGGATATTACACCGGACATTCTTCGAAGTGTGAGAGAATCGTTCAGCAATAGAATTAACCAGTGCATTCAGGTTAATGGAGCGGCATTTGAACATTTCAAATAGAATATGAACTGTAAGGTCTCGACACAAATGCTCTTGCCTTTGTTGACTGGATTGATTATTTAATCTTGCCTTTGTTGGCCGGACACACACACACACACACGCGCGCGCGCGCGCGCGCACACACACACACACACGCGCACGCACGCACAAACACACGCGCGCGCACGCACGCACGCACGCACGCACGCACGCACTTACATACACGCACACGCACATACACACAGGTGACGGCAAGGGGAACCACCTGATCAAAGCACCCCGAAGACATGCAAATCCGACTGTGCGACCTCCGCGGGGTGCATGTTGGATGACGCTAACGCCAGCGGTATGCAGACTTTTCGAATTAAACGCCTTTCATCCCGGATTGGTATTCGTGTTGACCTTAAAAATTGCCCTCAAGGTCAAAATGGTAAAAGTTCGTCGGCACCAAGTCCTACCCAAGTATTTGTTTGCCCATGAATCTAAAGTTAAAAAGCTTCCAGACGATTCAACATTTGACCTTCTGAAGGTCACATAAAAAAATTATAAAGTACCATTTTGGACGCAAAATTTCTCGCTCTTTCCAAATCCGGTGTCGAAAATAGGACTTTCCATTTAAAAAAATCAATGTCACCTTCAAATAACCTTGAACATTGACTTCAAGGTCAGAACCAATAATGCACAATTATTGCCCCCTTTGTCCTGAACAACTTTTGTTTGAAACATTTTTCTCTAAAACATTTACTTTTCAAAATATTTCGGGTGGGGGATTAAAATGGGACACCCTGTATATGTCAATTTCCATCGTGACGCTTATTTATTATATTTATACCTTTATTTGATTGAATTTTGTTATAAAATATATATACGTACTATATATGCATGTTTATTCAATTTATACGTCACATGTAGTATGCATATACAGGGTGTCCCTGAGCATGTGCTCACTCATTTGTAAAAAGGTAGAGCGCAGTAAATTAAATAAAGAAATCCTATTTTATGTAACGATTTTTGTAATAACAATCGAAATATTAATTATTGAAATCGGACGAATGAGAGAAGCGCTCGAGCGCTCGAGCTATAGCACGGCCCACCGTGTCAGACATTGCATGCCGGCACGCGGCGGGAGGAGGGACAGCGCGCCAAACAATGCCAGAAATGAGACGCGAGATGCGAGTCTTGACGCGATGCAATGAAACGTGAGAATGGCGATAGCGGTAACCACGGGTAGCGGCGCGCTGTCCCTCCTCCCGCTGCGTGCCGGCAGGCAATGTCTGACACGGTGGGCCGTGCTATAGCTCGAGCGCTCGAGCGCTTCTCTCATTCGTCCGATTTCAATAATTAATATTTCGATTGTTATTACAAAAATCATTACATATAACAAGATTTCTTTATTTAATTTACTGCGCTCTACCTTTTTATAAATGAGTGAGCACATGCTCAGGGACACCCTGTATATGGGGATATTTTTGGACATGTTAATATATATATGTCAATTTCCATCGTGACGCTTATTTATTATATTTATACCTTTATTTTATTGAATTTTGTTATAAAATATATATGCGTATGTGCATGTTTATTCAATTTATACGTCACATATAGTATGCATATATATGGGGATATTTTTGGACATGTTAATACCCAGCAAACACAGAGATGTAATATATATCTCTCAGAGTTATAACATTATATATCACAAGTAACATAGTTACATAATAAGTAAAATACATGTATGTTACATGTACTGCTAAATGTCAGCAACAAAAGTACTTCTCTGATATATCAGAGATATATATCACTGAACTTTAAATATTATATTTATGTTATATAATCATACCACTATATCACATAACAAATATATTTCAGTTACGGAACATTAGGTAACATATATATTTCAAATGCATAACAATGTATAAATGTGTTACATATAGTTTACTCATATGTAAGGCGCACAATAGAGAAAATACTAGGAATAAATATTAATTAAATATTAGAAGTAAGAATTATTTTAAAATAATAAATTCGAAAAAATGTGATATACAAATACAAATTCGAATATAAAAGGCTCTTACTAGTTTATTAGCCCTTACTATAATCCTTTATAGCCGAATTTATATTTTTATATCAGAAAAATTTTTTCGATTTTATTATTTTAAAATATAATTCTTACTCATTATATTTTCTCTATTGTGCGCCTTACATATGAACAAAATGTATGTTGTTACACATTTACACATAGTTATATATATGCATTTGAAATGTTTATGTTACTTAATGTATATCCACATTGCGTGTTTATTAGGAATTAATAGGTATCATTTAGAGGATTAGCCATATTGTAATGTTATTTTATTCTTAAGTTATTTTTTATATTTTTGGCAAATATTATATAACAGAAATTACATAAATAATTAAAAAATGTATTAAAATCTTATATTAATGTATAGTAATTATATATCACAAGTATATATTTATTTTTTATAAATATTTAACATACATACACTTGAGAAAAAAAGGATAAAATAAAATTTCAAAGATAAATAATAATTTTACAATGTCATGCTGAATATCAAAATATAGTCTGAAGTATCATGAAATTTAACCTACATCATATATATATTTCAGCATTTGCTAAAAAACAAAATTTATTATTTTAGTACTATAAAATTAAAAAAAAATATGCACTCTTGTATATAAATATAAATATATATGTGTGTGTGTGTGTGTATGTATATAATATATATAAATAAAATAAAGTAATATTTTTTATAAATTCTATAGCAATGGCAAAAATTATTCAAGTTACTAGTCATAAATGCATGTGTAAGTGATGTGTACATGTGTGATATGTATATGTAAGATTTGATTTGTTGTGTACTACATTTGTACACACTGCACTTTTTTTTACATTGCACATTTTTCACAGCATTTGAACTCATATTGTTACTTATAAGATAATTATATTAAGAAAAATATTTGAAAATCAATTTTCATTATTTATTTTAATTTTCTTTGTTATCACCTGCGTCTGCTTCATGTCTATATTTTTGTTCTCTTGAAAGCCTTAATTTGCTAAGACGGAACCATTCACTCGCTGCCTTTTGAAAATGTATTTCTTGAAAATTGTAATGCGTTGACAATACTGCATCTTAAAATATTTGTATAAGCAAAAAAATAATATTCACATAAATAAAATATATTTGAAATCAATTGAATAAGCAAATGGAAGTACTTACTTTGAATTACTGTTATTAGTGAAAGATCACAAATCTTGAAATTGTTTCGTTGGCCTAACCAACTGCACTTTGTACCAAGGTGATTTGTAAAAATTCTTTTGAATATTGCTTTTACGTTGTCTGTTCCGTTTGCACCACCAATACGTTTGACATACATTATCTGAAAATATTTATTAATTTTAACTACTAAAGCATTTTTGTAATATACAATAACTGCTTTCGCGACAGAATCAAATTGATCCAGAATAAATAGAAAATTCAATGATATTTCAGATTTGACCAATCACAACGCAGGCTCATTTTATTCTGGATCATTTTGATTCTGTCGCAAAAGCAGCTAATATATCCAAATAACATACAAATGCTTTTTTAACATTCTCGTTTTCCATAGATTGATCAAAATGAATCAATTGATCAATTGTTTTTATAGGCAATTGATCTTGTATTATTTGTACTTCCTCTCCATCGGAATCATTTTTTTTCTTTCTATTCTCGAGACATTTCAGTCGGATATCAATACTTTTTACGTACATTTTTATTAACGTACATTCTTGTAGAATTCTTTGTACTTTGTCTGCAATATATATAAAAACATGCAAATATATAATAATATATAAAAAGGTAAAATGTAAATATTAATGTAAATATTAATGTAAATATTTGGAAGTTTTTTCTTACTGTAGGTATTTGAGCTGGCATCCGTGACTGGTTTTTGAATACCAGAGGTAACTTCTCTATTTGGACGAATTGGTTCTAAATCACACACACACACACATGCAAACATAATAATATATAAATAAATATATAATACATAATAACATATAAATAACATATATACATACACCATGCAAATATATATATATATATATATATATATATATATATGTATGTATAAGAAATAAAACATACGTTCTATTTCAAAAGCTGGTGGTGTATATGTTGAATTAGACGCTATTACAACAGGAATCTCGTTCAATGTTATGACATTGCTATTCTGATTGTTTTCATTAACTAGTACATCTGTACAAGAAAATTCTCCATTGCAAATATCTGTTGTTGAAGAAGACAGAATAGAGTCCGGTAGCTTGTCATGTGATACATTAAGTGTTGAAATTTTGTAATTTTGCTTAATCACATTACTTTTCTTATTTAATTGTGGAGGAGGCTTATAACCTGTAATAAAATATTAATATTTAGAAGAAAATTATTTTAGTATTACGTATTATATAACTTTCACTTCTCTATTGTGTTGTAAAATTGTATTTATTTTTATTATTTGAAAAAGTATGCTATAAAATAAAATTTCATCATGACTAAAATTTAATAATTTTGTTATTACTATTTTTAAATGGAACAAACATAATTTCTTTTCTTGTTACATTTTGATTCTAAATCTTCAGAACTTTCACTGTTGTCGCTGGTCAAAAGCTTTCTTTTTTTTTTTCGCTGACCTTTCCCACGAAAAACATTCTCTTCAGTAGAAGTGCAGTTGCTGTTTTCGGCTTTTTTTCTTGCCAGTTGCACAGTTCCTATTGAACATAATAATTTATTTTACGAGAGAATTTATAATTTCTATTTCTATTTCTCAATAAAGAATAATTTCAGTTAAGCATAGGAAAATTTACTATAATAGTTTGCACAATTATTCATAACAGTAAAATATATACCATAAAATCCTTCAACCTCTACGTCATAAATTTCCCATGTTGTTGGATCAGGTGTTACGCTGTAATTAATATATTGTGATACATTTTTAACTTTGGGCCACCAGCATTTATTTTTTTCTTCAGTGAGCCATGATGATGGTATCTCTGAGTAATCATTGCTTTTTATAAAATGCACTACAGCATAGGAAACCATATTTCTTCTTATATTTTCTATAGCATGCCACAAACATAAATTCCAAAATTTCTATATTAGTGTGCATATTTTAGTGTGAATAATGATAATAAGTATATTATATTAATAAGTGTATTATATATTAATAAAAATTATGTATAAAAAGCAATATTACAAGATCTCCAGATTCTGTTTCAATAACGACATTCTTTTCACGCACTTGATTTATATTTACTGAATTGATAGCAAACATGTCAGTTTTAGATATCAGAAGAATAGATAAATTGATAGAGTTACAAGGCGTATTAAAGAAAGATTTCCATTTTGTAACACATTTACCAGAGAAGGAAATATGATTTTGATATAAAATTTTTTCCACAAAGATTACTGATCCATCATGTAGAAAACAACAATTGTCAAATTCTTTTGTAGATAAACTAAATCCTGCAAATTCTATTTTCTCGATCATGTCATTTTGTGCATGTTTAAAATGAATAATGGGATATACTTTTATTTCATTTTTTTTTACTATTTGTGCTGTTTCATGTAATCTGTTGAATACTTGTTCTAAATAATTTTTTCCTATATGTATTTTACTCTTTAATTTATATAAATAATTTTCAAATTTAAATGCACTAAATGAATCTAATGGACCAAACAAGGCCACATCATTTGAAAGATGTATAAGATTGTGTACATTATATGAAATGTGTTGCACACCATATAATTCACCATAATTTTTTACAAAATAAATTAATAATTCCTGTGCATATGATCGGTGACTAATACACATATGTGTATGACAAAGTATTCTAATTGATACACTTAAGCATAGAAAATGTTCATAAACACGTTTTGACAAAACATCTTTTAATAATACTGGTCCTGTATAAAGTATAAACAAACGGAACTCCGTAGCTTTCCATCTATCGATTTCAAATAAGCTTCGAGGGTATCTAGTGAATTCTAATGGTATAAATTTTTTCATATTTTTGTATGTATCTGAAGTACTTTGTAGTAAGTGTGATTTTATTCGAACATGCATTTTGCCTCGTACCCAGAATTGCAATAATCTTTTCATAATTCCTAAGCATACTAAATGCATGTAATCCAAGGGTAATTGCGATACCAAACCGATGCCTGTATTTTCAAGAATAGATGATATACGATGATGCTCAGGTTGCATTCTGTTTTTAAATGACATATCTGTTCGAAGAGAGCATTTGTACTCTAGAAAAACAACCCTATTTTCAATAAAGTCACCTTCGCATATATATTTTGTACAGCCAAAATATCCTGTATGATTTTTTATTCCAGCGATAAAAGCTCTTGCTGGTGCATCGCACACAAAAGCATTTATTTTTACAGGAATAAGTTTATCATCTATAAATATACCACACTGATTCTTTATAAGCAACATATCTAAAACTAATGGCTGTAAGAAAATATTTACATTTTCTGGTTTTTTGGTACCATAATAAATTCCAACTGTGAATGGCTCAGTATACAAGGCATTATCCACTAGAGCAGCTAAAATAGGCCAAAATTGCCCAGAAGAACTTTTGGATACAGGTAATCCATCTATATTAAAATTTAAACATATTTCTTGCGGTAAATTAACATAATGTTTGTATATAGAAGCTCTGATGCCTTTTTCTAAACCAAAATGTATATATTTGCCCTCTTCGAAAATATGTGTAATATTCGACTGTATATTTCGTGGTGTTTTCATTAAAGATCTGACATCTTTTGGCAAACTTTTATGATGTTCGTACTTTTTCAAAATTTTTAGAAGATCATTTGCTGCTGCATGACTTATATTATATTTTAAAATCCAAAAACGTATATCATATGTAATATCATGTGTCGAATCATTTTGCATTTTTACGGTAAAATTTTCGTCGCTTTCGATATCACTTAACGATTCGAAATTACTGTAATCACTTTTAGATTCAATACCATCATTATTAAGATTCGGTATAAAAGCAGCATCATTATTAACAATACTATTTGTCGATGCATTTAATAATTCACTGCATCTTGTGAGGTTAACCTCTTCATTTGTTAGGTTAACAATACGTCTACGCTGTTGGCGAACTGATAAATCACAAAAATCTTTTCTTTTCGACATTTTTACGCACTTTAAGATTATTATTATTAGTATAGTATAATAAGTTATTTAAAATTTATATTTTACCTCAGATATATTTTGCAATCATGTGCGCGATACTTGTGAATAACTTTTAATGCGACACTACGACTGCACAAACGCACAATTCGTTCTATCACGTTCAATTTAAATATCACTTATATATATCAGCTACAAATACGATACATATCGTTACACAGTTAATGATACGTATCAAATAGTAGTACATTTACGTATTTTTTATATGCTATTTTTACATATATGAAATGTATTAAACAGAACACATTTATGTGTCATATACATAAATTAGTTACATATCAATGATACTTCCCAGATACTTTCTGGTTATATAACAAGAAATATCAGTTACATGTGTGTTTGCTGGGTATATATATGTCAATTTCCATCGTGACGTTTATTTATTATATTTATACCTTTATTTTATTGAATTTTATTATAAAATATATATGCGTATATGCATGTTTATTCAATTTATACGTCACATGTAGTATGTATATATATATATATATATATATATATATATATATATATATATAAAGGTATATGATGCTGGATAATAGTGTAATATTAATAGAAAATACTTTGTTAATGCTTAATTATAAAAGAGAAGTCGATGTATTAATTTGGTTTGCACTCATGCGAGCGCGAATTTAGATCTTCCCTCTGCCTTTAGGTCGGGTGAGGATGTTGAAAAATTCCAATGGAGATAACGCGACGTGCTGGACTTGGCCTTGCACGTTTGTTCGACTCGTAGAGTTACACGCATAATATTTTTCGTACAATATTATCCGTAAGTACGCATATTATTTCTCTATTTTTCTCGTGGTTTCACGTTTTATTTTCTCTGACTTAATGATATATGTATATTATGCATGGTAGAGCTTGCTGTTATTATATTCATTGTTATAATTTTTATTTTTAATAAAATTTTGAATTTTGATTCTATGTTTTGAGTGTCATTTCACACGTTATGCACCTGGGCTTTATTCATTTCCTGGAAGATTTTAGTCTTACATTATTAAATTTGCATATGTTCATATGCACGTGTATATATATATATATATATATATATATATATATATATATATATATACACGTATAAGAGTGCTCATATGCAAATGTGCGTGCATTTTACAATTGTGTATATATTCATATCGTGTTTTATATTCATGGTAGCTATAGGTGTCTATCCTTAATATTATTATTTCATTAATTCAGGTGATACTTTTGCCAGGGGGGTACCCGCTGAATAGGAACACGAATATAGGGTGTCCATATATTTTCGTCATATGAAGACTTACTAGTAAGTAATGTTCTGACATAAATATACTTATAGGGTTTGATATTATGAATTTTTGTCATTAAAGTACTTGAAAAAGGGGAATTATTATATGTGATGTTTTTTTAATATGAAATGTTAATATTTTATAAGACTTGGTACATGCATTCATGTATAAGAGAGTATGATCGTAAATGTTCGTAGTTGATTTTTGATGATGTCCATTGGTCTTATTCTGATTTTTAAATTATTTTAGTCTAAATTTTTCTGTTATTTTGGTCCATTTATGCTAGTTAGTTTTTCTTCCTTTTCATTGGCTCATGTGTATATGCCTTAAGCATATAGATGTTATCCATTACGTTATACTTAATGTTTTGCAATTTTATAAAATATTGGCATCCTCCTGCTAAAATTTATTATTCTTATGACCAAATATTATTTTATATTAATTTTTCAGGTATTCAGGAGGGGGTCACGTGACTTCGTCATATAAGGTATTCTTATTCGATTTTCAGGTAAGATCAATTTAAATTATTATTTGTGTCATGGGCCGCTAATATTTGGTTAAATTTCGTTACTAGCTTATTATAAGTGAATATTTTATTTGTTAAAATTTTATTATTCATTTATTATTGGTTATATAAGAGTGGATACACATATATATATACATATATATATATATATAATTATTCGGATTATTTTGTAGAATCTGACGCTAGATTTTTATTATCAAAATTTTGTTCCTGAAATTTTTTAATCATTAGCATTTTTATTAAAATTATGGTCTAGGACTATATATTCATTTTTATTTGTTTTCAGGTGTCAACAGGTTCAACAAGAAAAACAAGCAGTGCTGAATGGTCAACATTGAAATGTCGATGGTCAAGGATATGTTATTATTTTTAAGGGTAGGTTTTATTAAAATTTATGCAAATTCATTATTATTATTATTATTATTTGTATTTAAGTCATTTCAATTTTAATCATTGTGAATTATTAGTACTATAAAATTTATTAGTTTTATCAATTGTTAAATTCTGGTTATCATCTTACGTTTTTATTTATAATTTTGTCTTTACAGGTTTATAGGATATTCGTTAAATATTCATTGTTTATTGGGAATTATTATATATCTCTTATAATTATTCGATGGGACATTATATTATTGTAAAATATTTTAACATTTATTATTCTTGTATTTGTTATGTTGTCCTTTTGACGATATTCAGTAGAATATTAATAATTTTGATTTTAATAATATTATTTAGAGGGAGAGTTCGTTTGATATTTATACAATTTTATTTTGTATTTCGATTATTAGTATCGTGCATTAAATTTTTACGTGCATATTATTTAATGTGTAGCTATTATTTATTTGGTTTTATGATTTGCAGGTTACACTAAGAGCAGTATATCGACGGTCAGTGAAGAATAAATATTATAAAATATTATCGTCGTGAGGGGTTACATCTATATATCCAATAGGTTGGAATTATTGTTCCCGTGATGTGTATGAGAGCATTTTCAGCCAAATTTGGACGTACTTTTTTTGATGAATTAGTCGATTAGTGCGTTGATCTACTTGGTAATGGTATCATGATTATATCATTTTTATAATTCTATTGTAAAAGATATCGAAGTTACAACACTTTCGTTTGATTAATTTGATTGCTAGCATCACATTTATACTTCTGACGAGTAGAAATTGTTATTTTAGAACTATATACGGGAACATATTAAAACGTGTACTTATCTTGATGAATTAATCGTTTAGTGCGTTGATCTACTTGGTAATGGTATCACAATTATGCCCTTAGTATATCTCTATTGTAAAAGATATCGAAGTTACAAATATCTTAAATTTTTATTCATGAATTTGCTTTCAAAATTTTGTCGCTAGAATAGTCACTGGAAAAGTTACTAGAAGGTTACTAGATTTTTATCGTTAACTTTTGTTTGTTTAATGAATTATTCTAACAAAGTCTGCATTAAGTATTGGCTTTATTTTGTGTTAATTGTTTTATTTCTTTTACAGGTTACCGGATGGGAGCGTACATATATCTATATACGGGGAAGAGGGTCGATGGATGAACATTCTTACGTCAAAAATCATAGGGGTTATTTCACTGCATATTTTCATATATATGTATATACATATATATTCATTTTGTTAAGGCATCGGTATTATAAGGATTTTTGATTATATGCATTTTAAATAGTACTGTTATAAGACGTACTTATTAATATTATATTATTATATTACTAACAACGTTAAAATATTTAATTGTCATATGTTTAATTATTTAAAGGTGATTGCATTGTTTTTGTGATTATATAATACGCTTTACCTGTCATGTCTTGTGCATATTAATTGTTTGATCAATTCTGTCGAGTAATTGTTAAATAAGTTGTCAATTTGTTGCTAAAAATTGGTTATTAAATTTTATCGTTAATATTTGATTTTCCTAATTATGTTTTATTATTGATATTTCGTTAAAATTTTGAGATTCGTTAACTAATTAATTTTCTCTTTCAGATGCAGGACTACCGCGATTTTAATTTTAAGCGACACTTGGATTGGTTGGCACCGAGAGGGGTGATCATTCAAAATGACTCACATCGCGGGCTTTTATATAGATCTCGATTGTTAGTATTATTTTAGAGGTAATTAAGGAATACGAGATTTAAATTGTACTATTAACTGACAAGAATGTATACAAGTATAGGTATCAAAATTTAATATTGATTCATATGTCTTAAGATATTAATTTTATAAACGGCATACAATAAGATTTTATAAATGTTGATACTTTTGCTTTATATAGATGAAATATTGAGTTATCATTAATCATATAATAATTTTAAATTTTGATTAATGCATTGAGATTTCGATTGTTCATATATCAAAACGATTTTATACAATTTATTACAATTCATTTAAGAATACGGTTGCTAAAAATACTCTTTATTAAGTTCTCATTGTTCAAGGCATTAGTTTCTCAAAGAAGTGTTATTTCTATCTTAATTTATTCGCGATATCCATGTAGGATAAAAAATCGTCGTGTTTAATACATGTATATGTATGTGTATTAATTATTTTAATTTTTCTTCTACAGGTTTTTAGAGAATATATATATATATATATATATATATATATATATATACTCATTGGGGAAGGAAGGCTTATAAATCATTTCACATTTATATTTTGATAATCATAAAGAAATTATATAGGTAAGCGTTAATGTTTCCCTTTGTTTTATTATTTTACGTATTTATACATGTTAACCTATTGGTTCTTTTGTTAATTTTTAGGCATTAATTTTTTTGATATTATAAGGGATCTTTTATGTATTAATTATGTGCATTTAATTCATTCTAATATGGCGGTTAATTATTATTGTTAGTAATTTGCTTTACGCGTACTTACTTGTAATTGGATTATGAGATATATGTATGTGTCTAATTTATATATTATTAAAATTCATGTCCTTGGTTATTGGTTTGGACGTTCGTCATGAAATAATTTAATATTAATGTATAACGTTAAATTGAGGATTTTTATATTTTAATTTTATCTTGGAGTGTCATTATTCTCTTTGATTATTTTATAGGAAATTGTATATAGACTTTTTATTAATTACGATTGTTCTTTTCCAGGTTTCTAATGGTGAGAATCTACATATGAGGGAGGGTCTACGTAGAGAAAAGAGAGATGTTTCAAACAACTAATTTGTGCTACGAGATTCCAGCGATATATAAGCATAAACGTTCTTATTATTATATTTCTGTTTATTCT